ACAGCAGGCGAGCATCACTGTGAATTGGGTTTTTTCTTGACCACTTGTTGTTATTGATATTGTTTTCACTCCACAAGTATCGACAGTGCAATTCAGAGGGCAATCAAATGTTAATGGAACTTCGTCCATATTTATAATATTTTTTAGGGAATACTTCTCTTCTGCAATAACTTTCCTTGTAAACTGAAGGAAAGAAGCTTTTTCTACGTCGTCCGGAACAACCTGACACATTGTCGTTCTGCTGCGTACTCTCAAGTTTTTACGACGCATGAAGCGGTAAACCCAATTTATTCCTCCCTTGAAATCCATTATCTGCATCTCTTCTGCCATGGACTTCGCTCGGAGATGGATTTTAACTGTTGAAATGGAGCATCCGGCATTTCTTTGGTCGAGAACCCATCTTAGTAAATTTTCCTCTAAAGCTGTCCATTTTATTTTTCCGTGCCGATTGGATCGCTTTCTTCCCATGCTTTTTAACACATCCTTTTGTTTGCACCAATTTCTGACCGCTTTCTCGTCCACTTCAAAATAACGACCCCGCTTCTCTATTTCCATCTTTTTCAGTTTTCTCAACTACCTTGAGTTTATACTCAGCAGTAAAACTCCGGTGATGTTTCATCAACGTTATCGAAGATGAAAGACAAATACTGTGCAATGTGCTATCCTCGTGATAAGTGGTAATGAAATGTGACCTTCGAACCCACTCACTCGGTGTTGCCAAACAACGCTATAAGTAAACGAATCACGCTTTTTTTTCGTACTCCAGGTACTTGCTACTAAGGCTCCTAAAAACCGAGCTGACGCATCAACTACTTTTTCCCCTCCCGGCAGTTGCGCTAAAGCAGTGCGAAGGATACTGGGATACAAGACTGGTTGCGCTAAGTGAGTGCTCATCGCTTGATCGCTCCCAGCATCGCTTGATGTGCCAGCCTGGATTTTAGGAGCTCTACTTGCTACTACTCATTCGTTCTGCATAATGCTCTATGGTTTACTATCGATACAATACATACGAATGTTTTCTTGGAATCTCGCACTTTTTTTATATTTGATCATCGGCAGTTCATGACAGCGTGTTTTTTAAATTTCAACAATTTTAACCATGAACAACCAGCGTATTATTCACACTGGTGGATAGTCCGCAGCTTCAAAAATTCACATTTTAAACACAGATAGTCCACGGACTATACGCGCGAAATTACAGTACTTTATTTCACCCCATATGAATTAAATTGTATTAATGTTGCAGTAATACAAGAGCTGACACAGAGTCGTAAAAGCATGGTCTTCAAGCATTGAATCAAATTTATATGACTTTTCTTTAGGAGTATTTTGTTTCATAAGCTCCACCAACTCACTTTCCATAAATTTGGAGAGAACTGTACATTTTTGTTAAGTAACCAGTGCATAATGTATTCTTTTCGATTTGCCATAGTTGGACATTTATTTAGTTGGACCATATGGTAGGAGGCATTGTCTAAAATTACTATAGCATTCGGTGGAAGGCTCAGAAGTCTGCTTTTCAAAAACAGAATTCATTTGCCTGTGATAGTCTCCTCATGTGGTAATTGCTTTGTATACTACAAATATCTGAGGTAAAAATCCTATATCACCTCCAGCACATAAAACATTAATACTTGCATTGCATGATAATAATAAATGCATTGTACGATGCCCAAAACTGTTTCCGATAGCCAACATTTAGAGAATCTCATGATGCTGTCCATCCAAATTTTGTCCAAATAAAAAGAAAGGTTTTATTTCATTATGAAATTGCCTGACTTTTCCAAGATCTGTGTTCACTTCTTTTAATTAAAACTTTTCTCTTGTTTTGACCCTCCACAGAAATTCAATACTATGCAGTATATTTCTTAATATTTATCATTTCCGTTTAAAATCTTATCTTTATTTGCAGCATTTTTCGGAGAATTGAAAACTGGCTCTTCCTCCCTTTCTGCCTCTCGATGAATTTTCTGTATTGTCGTCAACAATATTCCAGCAATGTTACTGACTTTTTTTGTGGGCTGTGAGATAGAAATGCTGAGTTCTGCATTCTCAACTTCCATGCCACAAAATGTAATGACATTATGTAGCAGTTTCTTAGCATTGTGAAATGCTTTGTTTTTACCAACTGAACACTTACACAAAAGACTAGAATATTTGCCAATGTCAGGTTAAAATCAACTACAATCTAGGTAAATTGCATATAAATGTGGTGGAAACCTATTGACCAGTTTCCCTTTTTTACTAAAAAGAGGATACTTCAACTAAATATAGTTCCATGATTTTTAGTCACCTTATCAGTAAAGCGAGCGATGAAATATGGATTGTTTGATATAAAATTCATATATTATGAAAAAAATTTCATTCTCAGTTTCCATTCTGCAAAATAATGAAATCTTAGCATTTATTTCTGCAAATACTTAAAACAAAAAAGGGGAAAAAACCAAATCCGCAAAATACAATTGAAGACGAAATCACCAATGACATGAGAGATTTCCCTCCATCAGCCATATAAATTTCCTCTTTCAAGCAAAGAGAGAGCTTTTACATCACCTTTCACCTTGCAGCACGAAAATGATGCACCTTTTGGACGATTCTATGTGTTTTATTAGAATGCCAAGGTTACATTTTAAACAGTTGAACTGTGTATGCCTACGAGTACATACTGGATTGAATGTACACAGAAGCGACAAAAGCTTCATGAAATGTATTTTAAAAAAAAAACTTTACAATTAAAAAACTTTTCATACAAAAGTGCTTTTACAGCTCATCTCAGTATGATGGAGCACAATCAGTAATTACCTCTTCATACTACAGTACAAAGTCTGACATCCGGACATCCAATATCTGGAATAATCAAAATTACGGACCTCAAATCCTTCAATAACCTTTTTTTTTTTAAAATGCTTCTTTACGCATGTGCATTTGATTTTTTTCCTCTGTAGATAAAACATGTTTAGAATCCCGAGTTTTAATTTCCCTTCCCCACTAAAGCACTAAGTAAATACTTCGTTATTAAAAAAACAATAATTTAACATAAAATTGTGTGATTAGTAATTTGGCTCCGTAGCTGTATCTGCTTGGCATACATCCCAAACCAAAACGTTCTAGATAAAAACATCGTTAATTTTACGCCTACTAATATTTTATATTCCTGCTGCGAACCTGGTGAATCATTATATATTTTACTTTCATCACCACGTTTATCAACACATGACCATTTGAGTAATGACTCATGCAGCGATGCCAAGCATTTTTTTTTTTTATATATATATATTAGTACAAAGTGTATTTTAACCTTTTATATTGACATTCTTGCTCTTGGCAATGATTACAGATCTAAGTTTTTAAGAATAAGCACTACGAAATTTTGAGGAGGAAAAATTTAACAAAAATTTCTTACCATACACTAAAAATAGATTTTGTAAATGATAATCATAAACCAAAAGATTACATTTAGTGCTGTATGATTTAAGAATAACTGATTTGTTTTTTCACGTAAACCCAGAGCTCCTATGCCAGACAGGGCGGCAGAATTTAGGAAAGACAAGATTTTTGGAATTTCAAGAAGCACTGAGCAACAAAATTAAAGGATGAAAATATTTTTAGAATTTAGGGAAAGCACTGGGATCTAAAATTTAAGGGCCACAAAAATTTAGAACTTAGGGAGGCGCTTGGTAGCAGAATTTAGAACCCTCAGAGAGTGCATCAAGTGGTATTAGTGCCGGCACTCAATAAACCTTAAGTATGTGTGAGAATTTATTTATTCAGTATTTAGATAAATAAGCATTAAGCATGTGCAAGAAATATATGTAAGTATAATAAATAACTAATACAATAAAGGCCTAATTGTCTCCATGCACGATAGGAAGCGAGAGAAAATTAAGATACTTATTTAAGTATTAATATATAACATATATCAGTTACATAACTCAAAACACAGGAATGGGCAGGAGCCTTGTTAATTCCTGGTTCATTTCATTTTTATTTTACTATTCCTTTATTCTCTAGATTCAGGCAATTGGAGTATACTCTTCCCCCCCCCCAGTTGGTTCTGCTGTCCCTAAATTTTGCCACTTTAGGCACTTGCATACCTTACTACCACCTAGGGCTGGCCCTGTGGTAACACAATAAATTCTACTACCTTCTAAATTGAGACCTTAAACAAGCTGAGCTGTGCAATCTAAAATGAAAGGCATGGCATGCTGAATGGGGGATCATTTTGCTTCATGACAGTGCCCATTAACACATGGCTAAATGAACTCAAGATCTCATCACTTCATTTTGCTACGAACAACTTGATTACACTCCATACTGTCCTGATGTAGCGTCCAGTGATTACCACCTGTTCCACATTTGAAGAAGCATCTGGGCAGTTTTTGCCACAATGACATTTATGAGGTCAAAACGACCGTGTTTCGGTGGTGTCAAATTAGGCAGCAAACTTTTATGAAGAGGAGATTCAAAAACTGGTTATACAATACAATAAGTGCCTTGATAATGGATGGAAATTATGTAGGAAAAAAGACTGAGGTACAGGCTTTTATATAAAAATTACATTGGTAAAAAATTCTACTTTTTTCTTTTTATTTCCAAACAGTGCTTACTTTAAAAATATGCCTCATAGATAGGGTCGTATACAATTATGGCTAGAAAAAAATCAGACCAAAATGTCACTAAGCTAGGAAGCTTTTTGGTGATTTCTCACCGAATCTGGTGACAAAAATTAGTCTTCTAAATCATCGACAGCTTGGCCCTATCTTACCAATTTGCCAAGGTAGCCATTTATCTCAATGTTAAATAAACTTAACCTGTAACCATATTTTTAAAGCGATGTTTCATTAGACCTTTCATGTCATGTTATATAAGAGATACTACAATTTAGATATAATTTCACTAAAATCATTTCCATGTACATAGAATTTGTAACAATATGAATATGAATATACGTAGAGTGCATATTGTTTTCTATGTATAATGTCTTATTTCTGTACCTGCAGCACTGAAGTTTGGATTTTTTGGATTCATCAGAGAAAAATCCATGGATCTCTTAGAATCTGGGCATAGAATTTTTGAGCAAAGGAAAGATGCACTTATCCCTGCACCTTTACGTGGCTTATGGAGGCTGTTAATTCTTGGTGATCAAAAGGTTTATAATTTTGAATATTTTTATTAAAATTTCAATAAATATATATATATTTTTTAATTTTACGTATATGTGAGAATTTATTTATTCAGGATTGAAATAAACCTTAAGCATGTGCAAGAAACGTTATTACATTTACATTACATTTATTTTACAGAAATTACATTTATTTTGTATCCACAATGTAATTTAATATTTTAATATAAAATACTAATTTCTTATCCACGATATTTCATAAAAGAGACATCTGACATCTTTTATTTGAAAAATGTGTAACTTTTTTATTAAAACAAGCTTTAAGTAATATGATTTGGGAAGGGTAAGGATCACAATTTTTTCCCTGTTTAAGAATTCTATTATATTTGAAATCTATGAAATCAATTAAAATCATAAGTTAAGTTGAAGACAAAGATAGCAAACTTTGTTTACCTTTATCCATGTGTCCAGCAGCGCTAGTAAAATCTTCAAAATAAAACTTGTTCTGAGAGATGCTTTATCATGTATCCATTATCAATGCATATGCATAGTCATACACTAATCACATTTATTTAATTTTAACTAAAATAATAGCAAGAGACGGATTCATTAAAGATGCATACAAGCACACAAGAGAGAGTTAAAAAAAGTAAAGAATGGAATAAAAGGATTATAGGATATTGTTTTTAGCCGTGGTTAGCGTGCGCCTTGGCATTGCTAGGGTTACTAGTGTTGGCGTTGGAGCAGACACAAAAGCATACTTTGCCTTGCTTAAATAAATACCAGGACTAATATAAAAATAAAACTAATCTGTATTTCATAACCTTAAATAAAATAAACTAGGCTGTAACAGTAGCCTTTACATTAAAAACAACAAAAGAGGAATGTAAGCTAGTAAACTCACTCACCTTCAGTCTTCACGTATATACACATCGGCCAACTCGCTGATACTACATCAGCGGCAACCACATTAATTTATCGCTAATTGACCTCTGAATTAATTTGCATGAGGATAACAACAGAACATTAAGTCAACAGCAGCCCTCTTTTCCTCATTGAAAAAAAAAAAAAAAAAAACTTACAAAGAATTAACAAAATTCATACTTCGATTTTATAATATGGACACAATACTTATTGTTCTTAATTACTATAAACAGTTAAACAAAACTTTTCAAATCCATAGAAGTTACAGCTTTTGTAAATAAGTCCACATTATTTAATTTGGTGAGGATTAATTCGAAATCAAACACCTCATCATTCACCAGTCTTCTAATAAAGTGATATCGTACAACAATGTGCTTAATCCGACTGTTTTCTGTTAGTGATTTAGAAGATTCAAAGGTAGATTTGTTATTGCAAAATAGTTTACATTCTTTCAAATTGAACTTCAAAACTTCATCTTGCAAGACATTTTTCATCAACATAAATTCCTTTGCTGCTTCCAATAAGGAAATATACTCTCTCCATGGTAGATAAACTTACAGATTTTGTTAAAATTTTTTCCAAATTACCTGTACTTCATCCAAAAATGCAGTATGAATCTACCCATGGACACACAGTCATCCCTGTTATTTGCATAATCTGAATCTGACTAATAATGTACATTTAGATGTTTAATCCTTGATAAGTTTAATTTATATGATTTAGTACTATTGAGATAACCAAGTAATTTCAACAATGCTTCCCAATGCCTAATTCCAAGATTCTCCTGAAATTGTGATAAGATATTTACTGTGTACGTGATATCGAGCCTTGTCCTATTAGCTACAAAAACTAAACACCCCAATAAATTTCTAAAGGGTAATTTTCGCATTTCAGTACTTTCTGCACTTGTAGACGGACAATCTAATTTTGTAAGAATAGTGCCTTTAGCTGTGGGAAGTGAAGTTGTTGGTATCTGAAATTGTTTAAATTTTGCAAAAATTTCTTCAATATATTTTTGCTGATGTATGTAAGTGCCCTTTTCGTTTTCTAAAAATTCAATTCCAAGTAATTTTTTAGCTCTGCCTAATACTTTAAGATAAAAAAACTTACCCAACTGTTAAATTACTTTATCTATACACTGTTGATCTTTGCTAAAGATTACAATGACATCTACCTACAAGAAGAGGATTACATTAGAGCTTTTATAAACACAATTACACCATAGTATTTTTCTATAATCTAGATTTTCTAAAGTATTTTGAAATTCATAAAACCGTGATCACCTTCTTTGATGCAAACCTGTAAATGGCCCTGTGTAATAAAAACACTTTATTTTTCTCTTCAATAAATCGCTTTGGCTGGGTCATACATATTTTCTCATTGGGTTTTGCAAAAAAAATATTCATTTTTCACATCTAACTGGCATTTAGTCCATCCATACAAACATACTAATGTTGTGAAAATTATTTGTATGATTGAAAAATTTATGTAAACATTATCAAAATCTTCATCACTTTTCTGTCTGAAGCCCTGTGCAACTAAACGCCTTTATATCTAATTACTTCATTCTTTTCAACATATGGACACACTTGTTTCTCAACATAATTTTCTTTTCTGGTTTCTCAACTAATTCCCAGACCTTCTTTTTCTTCATCGTTTCAATTTCTTCCCTCATTGCTTTATCCTAATCTTTGGCATTTACAGATTTCTGTGCTTCTTTAAAATTTTGTCGGATAATAATTTCTACAGAATTTGCCTCTTCAGATACAAAACTGTCCTCCTGTTCTACAAAATTATCTTTTCTGAAGTATTTGTTTTTGCCACTAAAGTCAAACATATCTCTTTCAAATTTAATATTTCTAGCCTCACAGTATTTTTCAATGCCGTTATGTGACCTAAAACGAGTGTCTGTTCCTTCTACATAGTAATATATATCTGTATGTGTTCCATCTGGCCTCCTTCTTTGCCAGTTTAAGTCTGAAACCTCTTTTGGAGTAGATTTATGTTCTAATGACTTAATTCATTTTGTAGAAATTTCCTGTTCTTTATCCAATTCTGATAACCCCTCCGATTCTTCTAGTCATTTAAACTTAGTTTTTGATTTCTGTCCCAGGATGCTATCTTCTGCATTAATGTTTTCATTGAATTTCACTTTACAGGTATTTATTAATCTTTATTCTTCTGATAACCATATTCTATAACTTTAGTTTCCTTTGCATATCCTATCATGATTCCTTATTTTTATCTCATTTGTAATTTATCTCTGTTTTGTTTTGGTATGCCAACATATGCTTTACAACCAAATATATTATAATAGACAACATTGGGTTTTCTATCAAGGAACATTTCATTCAGGGTTCGGATACTCTTATGACTCACCCTGACATGTATGTATGAAACATCCAAGAGCTTCTGCCCACCATCCTTTTCCCATCTTACTCTCATTAAGCATAGCTTTAACTGCATCTAATGCCATTCAGTTAAATTGTTCACACACACCATTCTCTTCTGGCATGTACACATTTGTACTTTCAACACTAATTCTGTTTTCGTCTAAGTATGTTTTGAATTGCCTGTAACAGAATTCACCACCGTTATTGGTGCATATATTAATTAATTTTCTATTTTTCAATTTTTCCATTTGCCTGTGATAGTTCCTAAAGTTAACGAACTATTAATTTTTATTTTTCATACAATATACTGTTAATAATCTACTATAGTCATCTACGATAGTGAGGAAATATTTCTCTCTTAATGCTTGTAAGGCACCTCAAAAAACCACGCATATTTCTATTCTTAGTTGTTTTAATTTTAGGAAATTGCTTTATTTTATTTACTTTATTTCTACAAAATTTGCTCCACATCAGGGGTGGACAAAAATATGGAAACACCTTTAAAAAAACATGTTTCTTTGCTTAATATGGTGTAGGAAACCCGTTGGCATCCAAAACAGCTTGCAGTCTTCTCGGAATGGATAAATACAGTTCCTGTATGTTTGCCAAGGGAATATTATACCATTCTTCCTGCAAAACGGTGGCAAGTTCAGATAACGATGTTGGCGGTGGATAACGAGAACGCACTTTCCGTTCCAATGTAGACCACAAAGGTTCGATAATATTCAGGTCTGGTGACTGTGGTGGCCAGGGGAGATGGGACAACTCATCCTCGTGCTCAGAAAACCAGTCCTGGACAATGTGAGCTGTGTGAACAGGGGCTTTGTCATCTTGGAAGACACCATCACCATCGGGGAACAAAGTTTGTACCATGGGATGAACTTGATCGGCCAAAATGTTCACATAAGTCTTGGCAGTCATGTGCCCTGACACAGTTATCATGGGGCTAGCAGAGAACCACGATATGGCTGCCCAAACCATAACAGAACCCCTGCCATGTTTCACTCTTGGCAACAAGCAGTCTGTATTATAGGCTTGAGATGGCGTTTTCCAGACGTAAACTCGGCCAGAAGTGGGAAACAATGTGAAAGAAGACTCGTCAGACCATATTACTCGCTTCCACTGCTCTATAGTCCAGGCTTTATGACTTAAACACCACCTTTTCCTGTTACGGGCATTAGCATCACTGATGAGTGGCTTCTCAATTGCAGCACGGCCAACAATCCCCTTCAATTTTTTTTTATTTTTTTTAATACACAAATTTTTTTACAGAATTTGACGTTCTCTTATTTCGGACACTTGCCCCTTATCGTAGGACCTAACTCAACACACTTATCCGCCCATTTTTATCATCCACTTTATACTTCTGATTTTTACTTAAATTTTCTTTACACTGAGCGATTAAATGTTTGTTTAACGTGACTATTTTTCCCGGCATTTATGCTAATAGTATTAAGTATGCTTACCCTGCTGTCTTCTAAATCCACCTGTAGCTGTCGAAGTTGACTTTCTTCCTTTACCAGTTCTTCAACTTCCCAACGTAAAATCCTTGTCTTTCCATCTATAAATTAATTACACAATCCAAGAGTATTCCTGGGGAACCTCTGAATTGCTTGAAAGCCTTTAAAAAGATCTGCTAAGTTTTGTCAACTTCGGCCAGCTTCTTTGCAGTCATTTTTCTTGTGATGAATAGCCCAATTTCTTCATCAGGTGCATATCTAATATTGAAAAATTCATCTAGAAGCTGAATTATTCTAGCTCTTGTTTTTGGTTCAAATTGCTTATGTATAACCTCCCATGCCTCTTTAACACTTGAACATTCCTTGTATCAATGGCCTGAACTCAGTTTTAATTCCATAATATAATGTATTAAAGGCTCCTTTCTCTCAAAGTGAAATCCTGCTTGTCATGCCTTATTGTATTTTTATGCAGTTTTTCTTCTTTACATTCTATGAAGCTCCAACAATTTCTGTCTAGCAACAGCATTTTTATATTGACTTTCCATTGGTCCCAGTTGTCATGGTTCAATAACTCAAACCTTTCTGGTAGTAATGACATTTTTAGTCACCACCACAACCACTTAGACCAACTTCTAAACACTTCAGCTTCTTTCTCTTTGTTTGCATTCCTTCAAAGCTAAGTTGAGCTAGGCCCATAACCTGTTGGCATTGGAGCAGTTGCAAAAGCATACTTTGCCTTGCTTAAATAAATGCCGAGACTAATATAAAAATAAAACTAATCTTTATTTCATAACCTTAAATAAAATGAACTAATCTATAACAGTAGCCTTTACATTCAAAAAACAAAAGAGAAAAGAAAACCAGCAAACTTCACTCGCATTATTAATCTCCATATATATATATATATACATATATATATATGGTTGTGTGTGTATATATATATATATACACACACAAAACATTGGCTAACCCGCCAATACTACATCATCGGCCAATCAGCATCAATGATGTTAGTTTATCACTGATTAACCTCTGAACTAATTTGCATGAGGTAAATAACAGAACATTAAGTCAACAACTAGAAGACGTGAGCTGAAAAATATATTTTTCAAATGCTTGATTAATGTACAGCAATCCCCCCTTTAACCATGCATTTGGAAAAATGGTGGAAATCAGATTTTGCTCTTTTCTTAATTTCAGAAATTTTGATTTGGGCAATGGTTTGGTGAAAATATCTGCAATCATGGAATTCGTATTGCAGTATCTTATCTCTTATTTTATTCTCTTCCATTTCTCTTAAAAAGAAATATTTAGCATTAATGTGCTTTAGCCTGGTATTCATTTTTCCCTGTTTGATAAGAACTACTGTGGTCTTATTGTCCTCAAATATCTTAATGGGTACATGAGGTAGTCCAAAATCTTTAAGGAGTTGTAATATCCATTTGAGCACTTGAGCAGCAGTAGCTGCAGGAATAAGCTCTGACTCAGTAGATGATAAGGAAATACAATTTTGTCTCTATATGCACCAAAATATTGAGCTGTTTCCTAAGAAAAATAAATTTCCTCCGGTCGATCATCTACCAGTTAAATCAGATGCATAGTCAGCATCCATATAACAGGAAAGTGTTGATGGACTATCAGAGTCAATTTTTAGGTAGATCTCCTTTATAGAGTTCATGTATTGAATCACTCTTAGAACTGCTTTCCAGTCTTTCTCATTTGGAGATTTATTTTTCCTGCCTAATTGATTCACTGCTAGGATAATGTCTGCTTACAGTGGTTGTGTATAGTAAAGCTCTGATGGCTTGCCTGTACTTGGTATTGTCCACTGGTGGAGAGGCATCCTCTTCCTTTGGATAAGAAGTAGCATTGGAGTGTAAGATGGCTTGTGGATATCTAGATAAAACAAATCTTCATTTCTTCTATTTTTGATTTTTCGTTCAATAGAAATTTGTCATCTCTTTTTATGTTGATTCCTAAGTAGTTTCTGATTTCTTCTAAGTCTTTTGCTTCGAAGAATTCGTTGAGAGATTTGATTAGCCTTTTGACTTTATCTTTGCTTTTGCATGCTATAAGAACATTGTCGATGTAGAAAATAATCATTATTGTATCATTTCTATCTTTCTTTAAAAACAAGCATGGGTCTGCTGTACTCTGCAAAAAGTTACTATTCTTTAATACTTCTTCAACCCTTTTATTCCATGCTGTAGTGGCCCCCTTTAATCCATAAAGAACATTTTTCAGTTTGAAAAACTTTTCTTCTTGTCCTGGTTGAACTGTACCTTCCAGCTCTTCCATGTATATTACTTCTTCTAAATTTCCATGTAGAAATGCTGTAATGTTACATGCCTCACACGAATTTTACCATATGCTGCGACAGCAAGAAAAGTTCTGATGATTGTATGTCGAACTACCGGTGCAGAGGTATGATCGTAGTCATACTCTCTGATGATTGTATGTTCTAAATTTTTGACTGTAACCTTTTGTGACTAGCCACGCCTTGTAACAAATGACTGTTCCATTTTCATTTTCTTTCAGAGTAAAAATCCATTGACAGCCAATTGGTTTCTTTATTACAGGAAGCTCAAATAGTTCCCAAGTTTTTTTTCAGGATAAGTAATTGATTTCTTCATCAACTGTGAATAACTACTTTTCCTTTTCTTTGGAATTCAACTTATCCAAGTCTTTAAAATTCTAGGTTATGTTTTTGACTGTGTTTGCTAACAATCCTAGGCATTCTGGTGGTTTCCCCTTCATTTTCCTTTCTAATCATGTTGGCTCTTTTTCCGATATAATTTTGAGTTTTACTCAGTTTCTTCATCATCTTCAACCTTTGGATGGAGGGAAATTTCAATATTTTCATTCACTAATAATTCTTCAACAAATTTTACATTTCTACTGATAATTATACCACTTTCACCTTTGTAGATTCTGTACCCCTTTGATGGTTGATCATAACCGACAAAAGTTCCTTCAATTGCTTTCTGGTTTTTCTTATGTACATATACATAGGCTGTACAACCAAATTGTTTTATATGAACTAGATTAGGCTTTTTTCCGCTCAATAATTCATAGGAAGTCTTATCCCAAGCTGTGGTTGAAAGGTGTTTCTAGAAGTAATTTGGTGTGTTGACACAGCTTCACCCCAGAATTTGTTTAAAAGTCAGCCTTGGGACAGCAGGCACCTGGTCATCTCAGTTAAAGCTTCTATTTTTTCTTTTGCTCACACTGTTCTGAGGAGGTGAAAAGGGGGGAAAAGGTGATGTTTGATGCCATTATTTAATAGAAATTTCTCCATGTCCTTGTTGGTATATTGTATGGTTCTTCCAAATTTATTTCTAATTATACTGACAAAGTCCTTTAATTTACTAAAAACTTCATTCTTTTTGGTGAACAAATAGATAACAGTGTATCTAGTAAAGTCATCAATAAAAGTTATGAAATATAAAGTTTTCCACCAACACTTGGTGTAGGCATAGGCCTACAAATATCACTAGGTATAAGTTCAAGTAGTTTGCTTGCAAAAGCTCTAGCATTTTTTGGATAAGGAGTTTGCTGTGTTTTATTCTTTATGCATTCTGAACAGGTATCATTATGAGTGCAATTGTCTAATTTTATTCCTTCAGCAAGAATTTCTCTTACTAGTTGTCTGATTACATAATGAATTCGATGGCCTAACCTTGAATGTCGTATTTGTATACAGTTATTTTTACATTCTACTGCAATATTAACATTTTCTAAATTTTTGATTAGAACAATTTTATATAAAATATTATCATCAGAACAGGCATGCATTATTATTTGTCTATTCTTTTTGACGAAACAATTTTCTTTTTTGAAAATAACAGAATATCCTTTACTAGCAATTTGCTTAATGGAAATCAAGTTGCTCTTTAAATCAGGAACATATTAAACATTAGTCAATCGAATTTTCTGTAATCAGCATTCATCTTCTAAATCAAGGTCAACAAATCCTTTGCCTTGCAAATATAAAATTTTTTCATCCTTTAAAATGATTTTTGCTTGAGGATCCTCATATATCAGTTCTGTAAATAAACTTTTATTGCCTGTTAGGTGACTACTCATGCTGGAATCGAGGTAAAAAAAATTTTTATTTACATTTTGTTCTAATATCGTTTAGATATCATTTTCAGCCGTGGTTGGTACACGCCTTGCTGTTGCTAAGGTTACTAGAAGAAGTGAGTTGCAAAAGATATTTTTCAAGTGTTTGAACATAAGTAACCTAGATGATGGATATTAGGATGAGTTTGTGAAGTGTATTGATTCTTTGTTCATGCAAGATTTAATTTTCTTTTTAATATGTTAATTACATCAGCTTCATGTAAAGAATGGATAATGTCAATTCGCGATCATGGTAATCCAAGCGACACTATTGTATGTTATCATTGCATAGGGCCGCATTCCTTACTTTGTTTACTGCAGCAGTGGTTCTTATGTGCACTTTAGTTATAAAGTTGAGTTTTGCCAATTAATTTTTTTTAATGCATTTGTACAGTAAAGTAATCCCTTCCTCAATTTTTCTGTTTCTTTAATCATCTTTGCTTATTCAAACATGTTATTTATTATGATATTCAAACAATTAAATATTTGAATTACCTTGATTCCATTATAATTATTTTCATTATACGATTCCACTTATGTGCTAATTTATGTTGTTTTTAACCATTATTTTCAGTTTTTAATGCTTTTGGAAAGTTCAATTGATACTTTCACCAGTATCATGGCAATACTTGCTGTCTTCTTGTTTGCTGTAATTGGTACCATATTCCTATCTGTTCAGGTACTGAATTTTAATGTTAGATGCTATCAACATTTAGCATTTGTAAATACCTAATTCCTTTACATTTAAGATATATATATATATTAATCTTATTATTTATATTTCATTAATCATATGTATAATTAATTTAATTTTAATATATAAATTTAATTTTTCCATTTAGTATATATAAATGTAGGATTTTAAATCCTTAGCTTAATAATTTTCCTCGCACGCTGTCTGAATTTTAGCTGTTGACTGCACGAGTGAAATTGATAGAACTCTGCTACTTTGTTTTATGAGAGGAGATGTAAGATGTTGTTTTATAGATATAGATGTGGAATTAAGAGATGTAAGACGTTATAGTTGTCATGTTAATAGATATAAAATGTTATAGATACCGTATGTGTTTTGTTTGAGTATGAATTGTGATTTCGAAACTAAAGAACCCACAAAATTGGTGTCAGAATCGGGATCAAATTACAAGCAACAAATAGAGGAATATGAAGCAATATTGGATGACAGAAGGAATATTTCTGTTAATAGTGAAATCGATGCATCAACTGCTCGAATTTTCAACGAGTCTTCTTTCGCTGTTTTTGATGAAGATCATGAGGTAAAACAAAATATTAGTAAGTCGTCAGTTCAAATTCCTTTTTCACAGTTTTCAAATATGTATATAAATTTTAATGATATTGAAAGCTTGATTTCTAAATTCCATGGTAATCCGTATAATTCGGTTGACAAATTTATTGAAAACTTTGAGGATGTATCTAATTTGATAAAACTAAATGAATTACAGAAACTGATATTCGCCAAAAGATCTTTAAGCAAAATTATTTATTGAAAGTGAAACGAAAATTAATTCGTGGAATGCAGTTAAGGCTTTATTAGTAAATGAATATGGTGTTCATTATAACTCTGCTCAGTTACATGAATTATTATCAAAACGTAAAATGCAGGAAAAAGAATCTCTATATGAATATTTTTTGGTAATTAAAAATATATGTTCTAAAGGTAATATTGAAAACGCCGCTTTATTTGAATATGTTATTAATGGTATAAACGATTCTGCATTTAATAAAGCTATTCTTTATGGTTGTAAAACGTTGGCAGAGTTTCAGGAAAAACTTAAGATATATGAAAAAATTTAAATTAGATAATGATAAAAACAAATCCGTTAAGCCTAATTCTAAAACCAGAAGCGATCATTTTGAAAGTAAAATAAAAACAAATATTCGTTGCTATAACTGCGGAAATCTTGGTCACATGGAGAATTTCTGCAAAAATAAGAGCAAGGGAAAAAAAGGCTTTCGTTGTAATTTATTTGGACACGTAGCCGCGGAATGTATAAAAAATAAGACAAATATAAAATACCTTGCCAGAGTGAATCATATATTTGTAAAGAAGCAGTTTAATGATATGCATAAAGCTGTATCAATAGATAATGTAGAAGTAAAAGCTCTCATTGATACAGGAAGTGATATAAATATAGTATCGGAAAATATTTATAAAGCAGTTGGTTCACCTAATATTAATTCTTCCAATTTGATTCCAGTAGGCTTTGGTAATAATAAAGTAAAGCATATTGGTTATTTTAAAGGTTCCATACAAATCGATGATTGTGAAATTAAATCAAATATTTATGTTGTGCCTCAGGGAACAATGAAAGAAAATGCCGTTATTGGCAATGAATTGCTTTCGCATTAGGAAATTATTATAAACAAGAATGGCATATCTGCAAAAGTAGCAAAAGATGAAAATTTATCGAATTTAATGTATATAAATGTACATCAAGAAGATGAGTTAGATAATTATTCGAATATTAATAAAGCATGTAAATACAAAGTAAACCGCTTAATTGAATGCTATATTCCTAATAAAACGAAAAACCCTATAGAAGAAACAGATGCTGCTCTAAATGAATTAAAGCAACAGGTGTCTCAGGAAGAGAGAAGTGATGTTAAACGTGGACAAGGAAAATTGCAAAATGTAGATGAAGAGAAGAACTCCATTCCTAAAGGAAGAAGAAAAAAACCCACCTAAGAATGTTCAGCAAATCAGAAAAAGTAATGAAAAAATTAATGATTCCAAAAAACCCACTTCAGGACCAAAAAGTTCTAGAAAAAGAAATAATTCAAGATATGAGAAATTAGTTCAATATAATACTGGTGAAACAGAAATATCAATAGTAAAAAAGAATAAACAGCAAGATAAACTTCCAGCCGAAGAACTGGATCCTGGTATATCTGAAAATTTTAAAGGAAGACAAGCTAAAGGAAAATCTACCAATATTGAAATGCTTAGTACTTTAAAAGATGACCAAGCCATTTCTTTGAGACCCAGGCGTTTATCAATTATAGGTAAAGAACAATTAACACAAGAAAAATCTATTTTACAAATGGATTTGGATGCTCCTTAACAACGAGTCAGATCTTTGGGAAGAAAACTTTCCGTATCAGAACAGTCTGTAGACACGTTACAGAAACAACTACCAGAAGCCAAAAAGGAAGTAGAAATTACAAAATTTCAGATGAGCATCAAAGATAAAATCCTCTCTGAGAAAGAAAAAGAAGTTCAACATATTAAACTGAAAATGCAAGAAAAGCTACCTTTTGAAAAGAATCGCATGAGAAGAATTAAGGAGAAGATATTATTTGCTAAACAAGAAGAACTTGGAAAAGACGCGAAGAAACAAATATTTAAAGTACAAGGACGAAATAAGAAAACATATAACACATATAACTTTCGAAGACATTCTCCAAAAAGTTATGAAATTAAAGATTTAGTTGCAATCAAAACAGCGCAATTTGAATCAAACGTTAAGTTAAAATCAAAGTATATAGGCCCGTATAAGATTATCAAAATAAAGAATAATGACTCCTATGATGTTGTAAAAGAAGGAGATCATGAAGCACCCACTAAAACAAGTGCATGCACTGAATATATAAAACCATGCACTTAAGTAGAAGATGCATAAAATAATACTGATTATGACATTTAAACCTGGCGTGACAGAACTAATAATCGAATTGTGATTTTTCACCTAATAATGACTTTTATTTCAGTTAATGCTATTTTTAAGATGAAATGAAGTTTACCAAAAATGTTAAAGATTGAAGATAATTTTCGATTTAGGTGAAATTTTTTGAAAAGTAGAAGGGACTGTTGACGATATTATAGTTGCAAAGATGAAGGACAATTAAGATGTTTCCTTTCAATATTGTCCTTAGCACATACACAATCTTCCCCTCTCCCTTTGTATTTCTTTTCAGGTTTCGGCTTATTCTTGATGATAGTTCTTTTACCGAAGATGCAAGATGACCAATGATTTATGTTGTCAAGAGAAGAATAATGTCGTCGAGGTCGACGCATAGCAGGAAGGCCGAATGTGGGATTTTAAATCCTTAGCTTAATAATTTCCCTCACGCGCTGTCTGAATTTTAGCTGTTGACTGCATGAGTGAAATTAATAGAACTCTCGCCACTTTGTTTTATGAGAGGAGATGTAAGATGTTGTTTTAGAGATGTATGATATTGTTTTATAGATATAGATGTGGAATTAAGAGATGTAAGACGTTATAGTTGGCATGTTAATAAATATAAGATGTTATAGATATCGTGGTAATAGATAAACAATGATATAGATGCTGTATTAATAAGATGAACTATATTATAGATGTATTAATGTTTTATTAAATGTGTTTTGTTTGAGTATGAATTGGGATTTCGAAATTAAAGAACCCATATATATATATATAAGTTAGTATTAAAAGTAATTTATATTCGAAATATCAGGTTTTAATGAATGTTTCCAGTCGTCCCAAATATCATCTGCACAAACAGTTCACATTGGCATGTTTAATCAGACTCTGTCAAATGATTCTTGGCATTTGAAAGAAAGAGACATTCTTTAGAACACCATGCTATGAAATATGTAAAAAAATATTGTTATCATTAAGTACAAGGTGTCTGAAATGGAACTGTGATGCTGCCAGATTAGAAGCATCATTTGCTTCCAGTTCTGTTGCAAAAAGTCATCTACAGAATGTCACCAAATCATGTGTACAGCTGTAGGTTCTAATGTGGTATCATATGACACTGTGAACGTTTGATACTGAAAGTTCAAAAACAAGGATTGTGACATTCAAGAAATAGAGCTCTCTGGCCATCCTACTGGTGTTGGTGAGACCCGCCTTTGAGAACTTGTAGAAGACGATCAATCTGCAACCACTTGAAGTTAGATGTTAGCGTCATATCCATTAGTTGCGCTGTGCATCGCATACACTTCGCGTACAAATTCAGTTACTGGCTGCCGCATAAGGTTACTCAAGCAAATAAGGACAGACGTATTCGGGTGTGCACTAGTCTGCTCGAATATCAACACAAGGACAAAATTCAGGAACGGATTGTCACTTGTGAGGGAAAGTGGGTTTACTTCAACAACACTGGTTGAAAAATGGGTTGGTCTGCTCCCGCAGAGCCTATCAGCGGTGCTGCAAAGCACAATTTGACTATCAAAAAGATCATGTTTTGTATTTTCTGGGATTGCTATGGTATTATCAACAAAGAGTATCTGGAAATAGGTAAAACCCTTGACAGTAAGGTGTACAGCGAGATGCTAGTCCATGTTGACGCTGCTATTAAAGAAAAGCATCAAACTGAGTTGCAAGTGCAAAAAGGTAATGTTTCAGCTAGATAATGCGAGATCACGTGTGTCTGCAGTCACTAGTTGGACTCTGTATGGACTCTATGGGGATCTTTTGCCACAATCCTCCATATCACCCCTTCAGACTTTTATCCTTTTTTACAACTGCAGCTATATCTTGCTGGTGCTATCTTCCATTCTCCACAGGATGTCCAAAATGAGGTTGATCTGTTTTTGGACTCGCGGCCACCAAGTTTCTGGGCCGAAGGCTTTGAAGAACTAACAAAACTTTGGGAGAAAATCATAGATTTGGGTAGTGGTACTGCCTTTTTGGTACTAAATGTACTGCCTTTTTTGGGGGGGGTTGACTTTATTAACAACATTGTTTGGCAGAAAACTTTGTTTACAACCAGATATTTTGATATATTTGTGCTGAAGGGAGTGGTTATAGTTTGTTACTTTAGAATTGGCACTTTGAGGCCCATAAAGCTTCATTCACACGGTGGTTTTATTAGATGTTAGATGCTTAATTCACACGGTGGTTTTATTAGATTTTAGAAACTTAAGTTATTAGATGCTTAATCTGAGCTTTGTTGCTAAGCAACCAAACTTTGCTACATCACAAAAACTGGTTTAAGGAAAAATTGCCCAAAAGTTCTATCTTTTCAACTTGATGCCAGTTTGGTATAAGAACCACCAATCAGAGCAAAGCAAATATTAGTTGATGGCTTTGCTGAGTCAGCTACACATTTATACATGCACAAAATTTCTTTTCCCTGATTGGCTATGTCTTAAACCCTGTTAAAGAGAAATTAATGGCTTAATGATATTTAGGAATTAAACCACAAAGCTTTATAATGACAAAACTGTCATCTGAACAGAGTCTAATTTTTTGAGGCATTAGGCTCACTTTAATGCTTGCCTCATAACCATGGTAACAATTGCTATGGAAAATTGGTCAACTCCTCTATTATGCTAAAATCCTTGAATCCTCCTTTGTGGGGTGCTGATGATCATAAATGAAGGAAAGCTCATTACAATCTTGAAGTGCCTATTTTAAAGTAACACACCATAACATATTTCATGAGTGTGTAAAAACACAGTCTGAAATAATTCATCTATTGTTCTCAATAATGTGCTAATATAATAGTTTTTCCCTTTCAGATTTATGGTGAAAGTATGCATCTTGTTACTGTTACTAGTAGTTTAATAAACAGAACTGTTCATAATACAGATATACAGCAACTTGTCCCAGAAAGTTTACGAGATGTTCAAGGAACTCTTGATTCTGTCTTAGATGATGCATTTATTTATGGTCGAGGCTGGATATCTTCATCTGTAAGTTGCTGCATAATATATTTAATAACTTAATTTTAACATAATTCCAAAAAAAGTAAATGTAAAAATCCATTATTCGAGTTAAGGCATTTATGGTTATGGTGATTTATAATGATTCTGATGCTAGTTCCTGATTTTTTCAGCAATAAGATTTTTTTTTTTTTAAATATTTTCGAAGAACCTTGGTGAAAGTAACTATACTTTGGCAATATAACTAACTAATGAAACCAAAACTAAATAGTTATCTGAACTTACAGGTCTTAGTTATAGAAGAGGAAAGTCATCAAGTTGCATTCTTCACAGCTGACAACTCTCCTGTTTTTTCACACATGTCCTGGTTTCCTGGTAGATCTTGTCATCCTCTGGTTTTAAATATTTATGTTTTTAAATCATGTTTTGCCTCTTCCAATGCAACAGATCACTGAATCTGTTGTATTTAAAATGTTAGCTTCTTATTTTGCTGTTACTGACATAGCTTTGAGTGGCTTCTGAATGTTGGGAGTTTTGAACGGGTTGAATGTATGGTTGATTTTTCAGGCTTTACCAATGTGTAATGAGAATACAAGCCAGTTGCCTTAAAAAGTTCTCCACAAAGACATCTTTTTCCTTAGGCAGATAGTCATTGTGAGCTTTGCCATATTCCTCTAACTGATGCCTCATCCATCAAAATACTAAACAGACTGGATTGGCCAATATGAACACACTAGGCATTAGTCAAAGAAGCGTGCAAAAACAGATTGCATACATCAAATCCTCATACATACTTAAGTTGAAACAAAGTGAAGGTATTGTAACCTAACCACTATGAAGTAAAGAGATTGTTTTGTTTTGCTTTTTTCTGCATTTATCCGCTCATGCCATAATATTTAAAATGTGCAGTTATTTATTAACTAATATTATTATTTTTCATTAGTTATTAATTTTTTTGATTATATTTAAAAGTGATAAATAAAACTTTTTTTCCTACTCAGAATTTTGTTTGCACATAAAGTTTAGGAAGATTATGCAATGAAATGAAATTAGTCAAAAAAACATAAATTTAGATTATCCAATTTATCAATATATTTTTTATCAGAATCGCATTGTAAATAGTTCAATAATCTAAACTAAGCATTATAAAGCAAATTTAAGTGAATTTGGCATTCTTTTAAAATTGCATCCTTGTGTAGCAGGAAATTCTCCCAGTTTTGATGAGAGACTGTGCAGCAGGAAATTCTTCCAGTTTTCATGAGAGACTCGCCCTGTTTTTCAGATTTCAAGGTTAGCAGATATGCTTTCTTTATTAAGATGAGATTTGAAAATATATTTTTCAGAAGATATCTCTATGAAAATATAGAATCTCTATCTAGGAAAGGGGTTCTAAAAATATTTAAAATTCAATATTAAATTGTAAAGTTCGATTCTAGTTTATTATAATAATTTACCTCTGTTTTTAAGAGACTATTCGACCAGCTTAGCCAATGAAAAGTAGCTAAAGACTTTTTGAGAGTGTTCTTTTGTATATTTATTACTTTCTAAATGTATTTAAGCTATTGAATTGTTTATTTGACAATTCAGTATAGGTAAACATTAAATAATACATTTAAGTGTATTATAGGTGCTCCAGAAAATGAAATTAGTCTGTATTCTTGCTTAATCTTGTAGTATGAATATTTTTAATTAGAATAATGTATTTTAAAAATATTTTTAAGTGCTGTATTCTGGTACAGAGTTCAAAAGTTGTTCTTATAAACTTAAGGAAATTAAATAAAATGAATTTTTCTAATTTCCGTAATTTTTATATTTGCATATTGCTTTTTTCAATATTTGTTTTAATTTACCAATTGTCAGCCAGGAAACTAAATTTACTGATTGTACTGATGTGAGGCATTCACTTCATGCCTTCAGTATACAAAACATACTGCTTGAAACAGTAAAAAAGACAAAATTTCAACCTATTCATTCGGTCTTTTTTCCATTAAAAGCATTTGCTCAAATGTCTCTAAAACTATAAGCACCATATTTACTACAGATATAGAATTGAACTGTATTCATGAGCTGTATAAGTTTGCTTTTTTGGCCGCATGCTATGAATTTGAGACTCTTGCTCTAAGACATTTGTTATTCATTTAATTCTCACCATAAACTATGTGCATTCTATGGTGAATTTTACTTGCACCAAATCCTTCTATGAGCAGAAAATATGTCAATCCTTGAATTTTGCATTTGGTTTCAATCAAGATGCACATCTTTTCTTGTTTATCACTCGGCAAGAAGTAGATGAAATTTGCTACCATTTAAAACATTAGTAGAAGAACTATTTGTTGTGCTTACTGAACTAGTAGGAACTATTAATTTTTGTTGAATGGCATGTGATAGAGTAGCAGAGATTATTTTTTGAATTGCTGACATAGCATAAAACTTAGACAGTTGTTCTGTTTGACTTAATTTATATCAGTGAATAATGAATTAAAATTAGATTGAATGAATTAAAATTAGATTGCAAAATCTCATTGCAGATGTTTTCTGAAGGTTTATATTAAAAAAAATAAGTATTCTCTTGTTCTAAAAATCATTTATATTTTTTAAAACTGTCTGGTGTATATTGGTATTAATAAACATTTTTGAATTTATTTTTAGAAAATTAAATAAATTTTGTTTGCATATGTTCATATATATTGTATGTATGTGTAATAAGCAAAAATGAAAATTATTTTATGTAAAATTTTCTGCTTTCCATTCATTCTTTTTAATTTTTATCAAAAAATTATATAAAGAAATTTGCTAAATCTGCCAAAATGGTGGTTTTTAAGAAAGGCCTTTTTCCCCCTTTCTTCATTATTCCATTATGGTACAGTGGTGTTGGTCTTCATCCTTTCCATTGATTTTTTTTTTTTCTTTCATCTTTAGTATTCTTCATTTTTGTTTGTGAGTTTTTCTCTTGTCTTCTTCCTCATAATCCAGCTATATCTTATCTAATAATTCTGCTCTTCATCTTCTTTTATTTGGAGGGAGAAAGGGAGTCTATAAATTGATAAAAATAAGATGTATTTTTTCATCACTCTTATATTTGTGTAGAACAAGAAAAGTGTACTTCTGCCTTTGACTGTAATAAAATCAGTTTCATAGTAAATTTATAAAATTAATTTAATGTTTAATAAATATCTGCTATATAGGATATTGTGATTAATTTTTTATCTAGTTCTAGACTATTAGTTGAAAACTTATTTTAGAAGTATAGCAAAGTATGTCTCAATATCAATGAAAACATGAGAGTTATGAGCTTTTATTTGTTTAATAATGTGCTATTTGATTTAGTCTATAAAAAATTATATGATGATCTTGCCGGCTATAACTTTTTTAAATGAAATTAACAAGTTACATTTGTGTAATTAAATTTTTTGTAGAAGTGATTACAATCAGTTTAAAATATGCAAGTTGGAGGAAGAAATTTGCGAAACAATTATGTATTTTATTATCTTTTTTAAACATAGTAATAGCTTTGTATTTAGATACTTTAAAATTGTTAGCGAATGTGTGTTTTCTATACATATGTCTAGAACATCAGAATGAGCAACATTTTTCTTTGTGTTAAGAAAAACTGCACATGAATGGAGACAAGTGTGACAGGCTATTTTTCCCTAATAACTGACACAAAATACAGTCAAAAATCGTTAATTCGGACACCCATAATCCGGAATGATCTATAATTCGGACCTCAAAGGTACAAACTTTCTGCGCATGCGTAGCGTTGATGCATGCCCGTAAGATCTTTGCGACTGCGCATATGCGTGTGCGCATATTACATTTACACATGCGCGTTTAATGTATAAAGTACCGTATAAGCTAAAATTATCTAATGATCTATTTCAGTTAATGTTGCAGATTGCGTTGTTCCTTAATCGTCGAACTGGATCCGGCTTATTATTTTTTGCAGACTGTTAGAGCAATTTTATAAAAAGTAAGCTTGAACTTTCGATTATGTCAAATAGAATTTCCGATGCTGGAGCTCCCAAAGGATCTACAAAGTGAAAGTGTGTTTCGATGTCCATCAAAAAAAAAGTGGAATTGCTGCAAAAAATGGATAAAGGCATATCCTTTGTTTCTCTAACCATTTCGAAATCTGTTTATCAATTTCACGCTGCTCTGCGGGGGGGGGGGGGGGGGGGACGCTGCTGCGCGCAATGAATTGGAAGTTCATCTGTCAGCACTATCCTTATCTTCAGGGCAGATGATTTTATTTTATTTGGCTTATTGTTCCTTACTAAATGTAGTATTTCATCTGGATGTACTCCGTCTTTAGTATGATTTAATTCAAATTCCTCATCATTATAATTCGCTTCCGATAGTGAAGAAAGTGACACAGAGATTATTGAGAATGAAAAAATTCCGATAGACAAATTACTCGGTATTCATGACACTGCTATTATAGGACTTGAACAGTGGAACTTTGTAACTGACCAAGAAATTATGTTTGAACGAGAAAAAACGCGTGCGCATTTAATGTATAACGGACAGTATAAGCTAGGCTAAAATTATCTAATTATCTATTTCAGTTAATGTTGCAGATTGCGTTGATCCTTAATCTTCTAATTGGATCTGGCTTATTATATTTTGCAAACTGTTAGAGCAATTTTATAAAAAGTAAGCTTGAACTTTCGATTGTGTCAAAAAGAGTTTCCGATTCTGGAGCTACCGAAGGATCTACAAACAGGGTTGCCACGCTACCTGGAAAACTGGGAGAAACGGGAAAAGTCAGGGAATTTGAAAATTGACCAAAATATTCAGGGAAAAGTCAGGGAATTTAAGTATTTTTGTCAAAATCTGGAAAAGTCAGGGAAGTTCATACAATGATCCCGCCAAAAAAAGCGATTTTTGCGCCGACGTCGGAAGAGGTAACTTTTTTGGCGAATTATGTATCACGTGAGTGTCATTCGGGTAGCTGGCATAGAGCCAATTTTCGCAGCTCCAATTTGATTGTCTTTTAGAAAGGCAAAGCAACTTTCCCGCAACTTTTGGTTTCCAATATTCTCGAGAATCGCATGTGCAGTGCATGAACTAAAGAATGTACCCGTTCTCGTATAAAACAAAATGGGTTTAATCTTAGTATACGGTACCATGGAGGTTAGAATCAAAGAATATGTATTGTAAAGAAGGAAAACCTCTCTGCAACAGACGTGGCTGTGGCTCCGTTCCATCATAGAGGGAAAACAGCTGTGCATGTCTGATATATCTGTTGCCAAAGCTCGAAACCGGTGTCGAAGTTCGAAGGTCACGTTATCAAGAGTTCATAAAATGAATATCGTTAAAATTTCTTTAACCACTTGCGCTAAAAAGACGTGCCACGCACGTCAAGCCGCTTTTGTCTCAAACCGCGAGCGATGTGCACGTCGATAAGCATTTATCGCAAAAATGAAAATAACGTGATGCACACGTCGCCTAACAACAGAATTGTTTATTTCTCGAGTTACAGCTCTGGATTGCACTCTCAGATGCGGAGCGGCGTAAATGAGACACTTTACCGCTTGTTATATTGTAGCGCACGGCACCGCAACTGTGAAGTTTAGTCTTAGCGCAAGTGGTTAAACTCTAAAGGAAAAGAAAATATTTTTTGGCGCAAGTAAATTAAATTCAGGGTTCATGATTAGTTTTTTTCAGGGGAAAAAAAAAAAACTACGAAAATCCGTTTTTAAAATTATTGCGAAAAATCCAAGAAGAAACGTCCTTTGATAAAACGTTTCTTCTTTGATTTTTCGCAATAATTTAAAAACGAATTTTCGTAGTTTTCTTTTTGTCAAAGAGCGTTTCTTCTTAACACGCGTTTCTCAATTTTCTGTACACATTGCGAAGAGGGAAATTCTGGCCGCCAGGTTCCTTCGCCAAATCCCCTGGCAAATTTTCCCTCCACATTCTAGCAGCGTAATAGCATTTACTTGTATGGAACCTTTTCTTCTTTACATAGACGTTCTTTGGTTAGAATAATAACGGGATTTGGCGACATCTTGATGCGCAGTAAACGGGTCATTTTGGTCTTGGCGACAATTTTCAAAATCGTGCCAAAGCCTTACCGTATACTAGAATTTTACCGCAAAATCTTTTTAAACCTTTTTTTTTTTTTTTTTTTTTTTTTAAAATAAATGCCTTGCCATTTTGCAGTAAAATAAAAAAAATAGTAATCAGTCATCTAGGCTAGCCATGTAATATAACTATATTATCGTTGATTATTCTAATTCAATTTTTAAGTAATTATTTTTATTTATTCATATAATTTAATGTTGCTTCTTCCCTCTAAATTTATTTATTATTAGTAAATAATATTTCCAGATTTCAGGAAATTTTTCTCTGGCATAATCCATAAATTAATTATAGCAGTATGATGACATACCATCACAAAATTTAATGCACATATTTTTTCCTTATGTATGCTGCAAAATAAATATAAAATACCTCAGTTTATTAAAATAGATTTCTTTCTTTCGTTTAGCTGCAGAATGTCTGCAAAAAAAAAAGCCTTACTTTATTCCAGATTGGGAGGATTCTAATCTCAATCTTCAGTGGAGAAAACAACAACTATTATAATTATATTTGTGTTTTCAAGTGTTAAGGTGCCTTTTAAGAACATACCTCACGCAAATTAAATCTACCTAAAATCTAACCTAACTATTTAGCATTGCATTGTGATTTATAAGGACCGGATTAGCCTCGTGTTGAACTGGTGATGATCATGAGTAATAATTAAATAAACATACATTTGTTATCCAATATATATATCTTAAATTTTATTAAGTTTCTTAAGTGGAAAACTAAACAAAATTATCAAACAAAGTATACCAAGAATAATTAAGAATAAATGTCCTCTGGGATTTATTGAATAATTAAGTGAATTTGCTACACAATACAAGTAATACCATAATTAATTTACCTCTTAGCACACCCAACGTACATTACGTGGATAGATTGGAATTTTCTTGAAACACACCTGGAAAACCTGGAAAAGTCAGGGAATTTCATTCTCCTGTTTGAGTGGCAACCCTGTACAAAGCGAAAGCATGTTTCGATGTCCATCAAACAAAAAGTGGAATTGCTGCAAAAAATGGATAAAGGCATGAAGAAAGTGACTGTTGAGGTTAGTGAAAATGAAAAAATTTTGATTGGCAAGTTAATTGGTATTCTCGGCACAGCAATTACAGAACTTGAACAGCAGAACTTTGTAATGGAACAAGAAATTAAGCTCTTTTTTTTTTTTTTTTTTTTTTTTTTTTTTTTTTTTGTTGTGTGTGTGTGTGTGTGTGTGTGTGTAAATTTTGATACGCTTTAGTTCATAATTGCTCTTTATTTCATAAATTACGGTTTCATATTTTTAATTTTATAATTTCTGCATGCCATCTTACCAGATTTAAATTGATGATCTATAATCCAGGAAAACCCCTAATCCAGAATCGCTGAAGTCCCGTCGAGTCCGGATAAAAGACTTTGTACTGTATATAGAAGTTAGGTATAGAACTAATGAATTGTGCCCAGGCAGTTTATTTCATCCATGTCAAATTGTGATGCAGTAATCGAAATGCCATGCTTTTTTTCAAGATAAAGTGAGTTAAGAGTTCATTTCTTCCATTTCTACTTCAGAGCATAGATTAGCCCTTGCTTCTTTTCTGTGAAAGGTTTGTAAGCTGTAATTTGTCTCCTCATAATGTCTCTTATATGCTTAATGAGGCTGAGGTCTGGGTAGCTTACAGTCAGTTCAGTGAAGGTTTATCAAAGCATGATGATGCCTCATGCCATCATTTCAGAGCCACCTTTATGATATTTATCTTGTATAGTTTTCTGTTTACACTGTATTTATTTCATGCTTGATACAGTGATATCCGGAAACCTATTGCAGATTGAACTGATTCTCATCAGAGAAACAGGCTTAAGTTCAAACTACTATCATTCACTTTGAAGGGAACTGACACTGCAAATATTTTCTGTGAATTGCCACACAGACATGCAGGCTTGAAGCATATAAGCCTGTATAATTTGAACATTGAAGCAATTTAGCAAGATGTCTTCATTCTTGCATTGCAGTAGAACTGATGTGCAAGTTAGCTAGCCATGTAGCCTCAACTGCATTAACTATTATTGCTAAATATTGAGCTTCTTATACGGTCATGTAGGGAGAATGGTCTTCTGCACTGTGTCTAAAATACATATAAATCATCTGAAATGCATCACAAAGTCTGAAGACAATATTTTTCAGAATTTTAAACTCCACTGCAGCTTTGAGATATTGAGGCCTTTTAGCTTTCCTATAGTTTTTTAGATGTGAAATCATAAAAATGTTTGAATTGGGTGAAAGAGTTTGAGATATGATAAGAATTTATACTTATAGATTTATTGTTTGACACTTACAATTTCTCACAAATACACTATATTGATAGTACTAATTTCTTATTCATTTGCTGCTAAATTAAAAATCAGAAATCTTCGTATTAATTTTCTTTCTACTGTGTATATTTAAACATGTTAATATCCTACTGAAATCTGTGGTTAATGTCTTGTCATATTTAATGCACAAGAAGTGATACTGTATCTGAGATTTCGATAGTGGTGATGGACAAGTGTGTTTGAGTGAACAAATCAAAGTATGTTCTTTAGATATGGAATGTCTGCTGCTTCAGACCTATTCATCTGTCCATGTTTATAGCTGTGTTTGTAAACACATAAGCAGCCACCTTTTTAATCATCAGCATTGGAACATTCCAGTGCTAAGTAGAATACTGCTGATGCTAAATTTAATTTCACTTATGGTCCCATTAGTCCAAATTCATAATTCATTTAATGCTGATGAATATGCATTTCCATAGTCACAAACCCATATAAGTGCATACGCATATGCTTGTAGTCATTTTTCACTGTAATTATCTAGAATGGACTCATAAAGATTGAACTATCAGGTTAGCATAGTCAGATAAATCCTTTATTATTATTATTATTATTATTATTATTTGATTAGGCAGGCTTGTTGTTTAACGAACACCTGTGAAATAATGGAAAATTTTTATTAATATGGGGTTGGACCACCCTTTAACTGAAGTACAGATTGAATGCAACGTGGAATAGATGAATAAAGGTCATGGACAATATTAAAAGGAATATTAAGCCATTCTTTCTGCAGAGCGGTCTCTAATTCTGAAAGTCTGGATGGAGCTGAAAATCGGGAGCAAACTTTGGACTCCAAATATGCCCATAAATGTTCAATAATATTCAAGTTTGGAGACTGAGAGAGGCCAAGCGAGATGTTCAATTGCATCGTCATGCTCTTCGAACCATTCTGGAATACACCTAGCAGTGTGGATAGGGGTTTTGTCATCTTGAAAAAGTGGTCACTCCCCAGGAAATACAATCTGGGCAAAAGGATGGACATGATCCCCTAGAATGCTTAGATAGTGATTGGATGTGATTCTCCTATGCAGAATAACAAGTGGCCCAAGACTGTGCCAAGATATCGCATCCCATACCATAATGGTGCCACTCCCATGCTTCACATTCAGCAAGAGGCAGTCAGGATGAAATGCTTCTTTGGGCGTTCTCCAGACATAAACGCATCTGGTTATCTGAAATAGGGTGAATGATGATTCATCTGACCATATTACCTGTTTCCACTGCTGTGGGGACAAGCCTTTGTGATCTCTGCACGATTGGCATCGCTTGAAAGCATTAGTTGCTGTCACCAAGGGTTTATGAATTGCTACTCTGCCATAAATGTTCGCAGCATGAAGTTCGCTTTTGAAGTTTTTGTTGAAACAGGGTCCTGGGGATCACTGTTCATTTCGGATGTTATGTCGAATAATGATTGCTTGTGCTTTCCGGCTACTATGGACTTCAAGACCCGTCTATCTATATCAGCCAGCTTTGACTTTCGGCTACTGTTGTGCTTTGAAAATGTCATCTTACCCTCTTTCATGTACGCTTTCATAACGGCTGATACCGTACACCTTGCACCCCCCCCACAAGGTTTGCTATTTCCGTAACCAATGCTCCTTAAACGCGCTCCAACTATTATTCCTCTTTGGAACTCTGAAAGGTCTGACATTCAACTTCTCGCAGTCAGTTCAATTGAAGCATGCAATGCAGGTGACTACTGTTGAGAGACTGATACCTCCCTCTTCATGCTCAACTAAGTGGCAGACTTCAGTTGCAGGTGATGCGGCTGTACTGCAAGTGTGAAATACATCATACTTTTTCACAGGTGCTCGCATTATTTTGTCCTCCATCTGTATCTGAATTCACTACGGAATGCATATAGCTGGGGTGAGAGATTATGATGATCTTGGCAATATTGTCTTGTGTCTTGAGAAGAACGTGGGTCCATCATCTCTTTGGATTAAACTAAATAGCTCATTCAATAAAATGTTCAGATAGAATAAATGAAATGTTCAGATAGAATGCCATGGCTTAGTCAACAAGAGTACTTCGTTATAGTGATGATACTTTTTTGGCATAGATAATTTAATTTTAAAAAAAGGAAGAAGATGATGTTTAAAATCACATCACAAAGAAAGAAAGTTAAGGAATGATTCCAGTACTACAATGAAGAAATTCCCTTTATTACCAGAGCTCACGAATTTTCAAAGCATGAGTCAAATTTTAACATTAGTGATTTATGTTACGAAAAAAAAAACAGTTACAAACAGCATCCCATATACATAGTATACAGAAATCTAGCAACATTTTATTGCACTCATTTCATCAAATGTCTCATCTGGTGAGAATTTGTTTGTTGGTTAGAAAAAGCCCTCCATCATATTAGGTAAATGGTTTTAATGTTTTGTCTAGTAATTTTACACTGAGTGGGTTATCATGGCAGAGAACTCAGAATATTGCTTTGTAATGAAACATATATTGTTTATTATATACAAATAGGTTATTATTTAAAAATATGAATTATATTTATAAAATAGATTTTAAATGGACCCCTAGAGTTGTATTTGGAGTAAATTGTAATGAAAAAAATTAAGTTTTGCTGTGATTTTTCTCCAGAAAGAAATCTGCTGCTCGTTTGCTTATCAAAATATAGATTGCCTTCTTATTCAATATTAGCATAAAAATAATGTTGAATTTTAATCATTTCTAAAATTACAGTCCTTAATCTTTTATGCATAAGGTTTTTCAAAGTATTAAAAATTTTCATATAAATTTATAATGTGATCTGTTTTTGATCATATGTGAACAAGCTTTAATTTTTCATTTTCAAAAATTACAAAGTTTTTGCAGCATACGAGGGGTGTTTTTTAAGTAAGGGCCATTTGAAAATTTTCAAAAACCAAATTTATTTTCAGATTCTACATGCTTTTCTCTATTTTTCAGCATAGTTGCCAAGTTTGTTTAAACACTTATCATACCTTAGAAGATTAAGAAAATTTGAATACTTTCTTTATAGAATCTTGCCACCTGCTCTGATAACCAAAAGGTCACGGCTGTTTTCACGTCTTTGTTATCATTGTAGTGGGTGCCATCAAGATGATGTTTGAAACAGATGAAAATATAAAATTCACTCGGTGCAATGTCTGGGCTGTAGGGAGGGGTGTTCCAAAACTTCCGAGCTAAAAGGCCTGGGCATTGTCATGGAGTCGCAAAATTCCCTCTGTCAGCATGCTGCATCTTTTGTTTTGAATCACTCTGCATAACTTTCGCAGGGTTTGGCTGTAGACCTCTAAATTTATGGTGGTGCGGCCTTGAAGTCGACCAACAAAACACCATGCCTATCCAAAACATGGATGCCATGATCTTTCACTTGGACAGAGTCTGGTTTTAACCTCTACAGAAGAATGTGTGTGTGTCTCCACTTCATGCTGTGCCGTTTCCATTCAGGCGGGACATCTGAAACCCACGGTATGTCTCCCATTATCAACATTGCATCACCTTCTTCATTATAACGAGTCAAAAAATTCAATGAACATT